GTTTTTTTTGTCAGTTGTGAAGTTTGAACTCAGGACCAGGGCACTGTCCCTGAGCTTTTTTGCTCAAAGCAAGTGCTCTACTACTTTGAACCACAGTGCCACTCCCAGTTTTCTGGTTGTTGATTGGAGGTTAGAGTCTCACGGGCTTTCCTGCCTAGGCTGGCTTTGAACCACAATCCAAAGATCCCAGTCTCCTGAGTAGGATTACAGGCATGAGCCACTAGCACAAGACTGGTAGCCCCTTCCTACAGCCCTGTGGGGCAGAGAAGAATCCATGGGTTACATGCTGTGAGGACCTGGGCTTTATGACAGACTGTATACATCCTTTATCCAACATGCTTGGATCTACAAGTACTTTAGAAGTCAGGTTTCTGATTAGAGCTGCTCAGTATGTGCTACTTTATGGTCTCTGCACCTCTCAGCACTCTATCTACAAAGAAGTGAGAATTACTCTTGCAGAATGGACATGAGGACTGGGTAAGCCTATGTAAGCCCAGAGCAGGATTTTGGCAGACATTTGTTGCATTCTCCCTGTGTCTGGAGGGAAGCATCTTCCTCCTTGTGGATAGATTTTATAGTCACTGGCCTTCTCTGGGTGGTGGAGGGCTAGGGCTCCCATCCATTGTAGTGTGTCTCAGCCTACATGTATCAAACACTTTTGGAACTGCAAGGCCACACACATATTTCCTAGTGGCAGCTGAGCTCTGGTGACTGCAAGGAGCGCTAGGACATACCACCTTTGGTAAAAGCCCACTCTGGTGAAGCCTTCTTGGAAGTGTGACTTATCTCTCTAGTTTGACCAGAACCCCTGTGGTTTGGATTGGCAGGTGATGAAGGAGAGGTAGACCAAGTCCTAGCACACAGGCTTACCCATGGGAACTCAAGACAGGTTGTTATAGGAAACCTAGGCATGCTAGGATGTGTGGAGACAGAACCAGATACCAGGGCTTGCTGGGAACAGCCCATGCAGAAAATAGGCCCAGGATACAGAATGCTTCTAAGAAATGTCCGCTTTGGGTAGTTCTAACTCTGGGTCTGGTTTTCCATTCTGGACCAACGTGTTTAAGCAGTAGTCATGGGTACAGAAGATGGCAGAGAGCATTCTACTAGTCAGGATGCCAGAGACTGATGCTCTGAGAGGTGACCCAGAAGCAATGGACTTTGCTTCTCAGCCTTTGGCCTTCATCTGAATGCAGATGTTTCCGCATATGAAGGGTGCAACCATTGGGTCAGATTTTTACAGCCAGGTTCTCTAAGCCCCTACCTCCATACTACAGCCCAACCTATCTTTCTAACCCACCATCTGATCCCTGAAGCTCATACTTTCCCTTGGTCCACCCCAAAGAGGATGAAGCTTGAGCTTCATAGCAGGACCACAGAACCCTTTAGTTCTAGTCTGGCATCAGCCTCTCTCATTTGGTTCCCCTCCCCTTTGCAACCCTACCTACCTACCCTGTGCCTAAATCCTTCTAGACACACCTGGAGATCCCATCCTAAGTCTATGCCTCACCGAAATCTAACCTAAAGCTTGTATATATACAATCCCTTCCTCTGACACAATAAGACTCATCCTCTGATCCCTTTGACTTTCCAATTTACCATTTCCTGCTTGTCTCTAACTACTATCCTCATTGGCTCGTTCACTGTGGGCTGAGCCTCTCTGACAAACCACACTTGACCACAGAGGGATGAAGCCCCTGCCCTTGAGTAGCCCCTGGCCCAGTGGAGAAGCAAACACCCTAGATAGTGACAGCATAGGAAGCCTTGTCACGGCCTCCATGTTTCTCTGTATCACATCCTAGATGTCCTGTGACCATTGGCTACCATTGAGTGACCATCGCTTGGTTAGGTCTCCACACAAGCAGGTGCTACCAGGCCTGTAATCCTAGCTACCCAGGAAGCTGAGATCTGAGGGTCATGGTTCAAAGCCAGCCGGGGCAGGAAGAGCTGTGAAACTTTCCAATAAACCACAAGAAAACTGGAAGTGGCACTGTGGCTCAAGTGGTAGAGCACTAGCCTTGAGCTAAAATGCTGAGGGACAGTACACAGGCCCTGAGTTCAAGATCCATGACAGACCAAAAAAAAAAAAAAAAGCAGGTGCTAAGTCTGATTTCCTATAGCCTAATCAGCACTAGACCCAAAAAGGGTGCACAGAAAAATGTGCTGAAGTAGGTTGACTTGGGATCTGAATGTTTCAAATGATCCTCCTTTACCTGAAACCTTGCTACTTATTATCATTAAGATAGTGAGATGTTATTTTGTCCTGGCATAGTGGTAACACCCTTTACATCTGATGACTTCTCCAGTGAAATTGGTAAGACCAGAACTTGTCACTCCCATTTTACAATGTAGAAACGGAAACCCAGAGAAGCCTAGACAAGCCTAGACAAGCCTAGACAAGATGCCTAAGGAGGGGCTGGGAAGGTGGCTCAGTGGTAGAGCGCTTGCCTTGCATGCCTGAGGCCCTGGGTTCGATTCCTCAGCACCACATAAGCAAAAAGAAAAAAGCCGGAAGTGGTGCTGTGGCTCAAGTGGTAGAGTGCTAGCTTTGAGCTGAAGAGCTGAGGGACAGCACCCAGGCCTAGAGTTCAGGCCTCACGACTAGACCCCCCCCTCAAAAAAAAAGATGCCTAAGGACACCTGGTGAATTAGGTAGGTTAAAAATAGGCTAAAACCCAGGCATCTTGCCCCCAACTCAAGCACTACCCTTTAGATCACACTAAGCTGAGTGGGTGGATCATGGGTTCTAGTCCAAGGCCACCTCCACAAGAGACTCTTGTAGATCAGGCACAAGCCACACAGTGGTCTTCCAGGCCTATAGGCATCTTACCTCCAAGAATCTACTGATACCTTCAGCATTTACCTGTCTGCATCCTTCTTTGCCCAAAAATATACTACCCTATCCCCAACTCACACCTTTGTACACACCATGCTGATGTAGCATGCCACTAGCCTTCCCTCAGTTTCCCAAAAGGCATCAAGCTCATCTAGCCTCAAGTCCTTACCACATGCTGGCCTCTCTTGCCTGGTATACTTTCTCTTCCTCTCTTTACAAGTTCAGGTTTCCATTTTCTTTTTTTATCTTTCTATTTTTGCTAGTACTAGAGTTTGAACTCAGGGCCTCAAAATTGCTAGGCAGGCACTCTGTCACCCAGAACTACCCTGCCATCCCTTTTTGAATTGGTTCCTTTTTCAGATAAGGCCTCCATTTATGTACAGCTGGACTGGACTTCACTTCTCCTATGTGCTGGAGTGACAGGCATGCATCACTTCATCCAGCTGTTGTGCTTTCCCCATCGCTGTGATAACAGGCTCTGATCATCACCACACAGCCATTGGTTACAATGGAATCTCAATAATTTGGGGGTGGGGGCCTTGAACCACCATTCTCTATCCCTGCTTCCCAAGTAGGATTGTAGGCTTGAGCCACTGCATCAGCCTCCGGGTTCTATTTTCTCAACGATATTTACTTTTGTGGCTTTGAGGGAGCGAAATAAATGGATATGTTCCTAGGTCTCACCGGTAGCATTTGTCACATGCTGCCTTGGGACTGTGACTCTTGAATTTCCCCCTTTACCTGTGAAAAGAAGAGATTCAAAACCAAAGACTCACTCTCTTTTCGTAGTGCAATTAATAAGGCAGGCAGCCTGCTCATGCTGTGCCCCCAAACAGTCTTTTCACAAACATGTTGGTTGCCCCCCACATCTGATAAATCACTCCCAATGCTTTTCTTGATACCAGGCCTTCCCTCCAATCCATTGACCACTACTCTGTCTTGAGCCTCATCCACTCATGCCCAGCTCGGTCTCACAGTCTTTCCCACAGCCCTCCAGGCTTACAGACCTTCTTATCTGTCTCCCATACTGTTGCTACAATATTTAAAGCTCTCTCTAAATCCCACTCCCACTTCAGCGTCGAAGAACAATACACAAGATCTTGCCCCTACTGCCTGGGTTCCACATATTCCACACCCAAACATGCGGACTTCCCTAAAACTATATGCCTGTCCAGCCTTGCACTCACATCCTTCGTGTGCAAAACTATTCATCCGTGGGCAATTAAAAAATTCAAACCATTTGTAGGTGCAAGTTAAGCATCTTTCATGACTCACCTCCTTAGCTCTCCAAGTACCTCACCATAATTTTTCTCACTTTACAGACACGAACACTGAGGCTCTAGAATGGCAGGACCAGAGCTGAACGCCAGGTAGGATTCCACATCTGTCCTATATAGACCTTTCTGAGCAGTGTACCCTCCCCCAGGGGGAGGCAGGGTCCCCTGTCTGTGGCTCCAGCGGGCCCTGGCTTCACTCCTGTCCCAGGACTGTTGCCAGTATCAGTGAGTGTTCCTTCCTGCCACCCGCTCACCTACGCCAGCAGAGGACAGGGTCTTCAGTACCCAACAGTGTATACAGATGGTTTCTGATGCCTCTTAATAAATGGAAGGGTAGGTAGCATTTTAGGTAAGCAGGAAGCTCAGCCTTAGCCCAGCTAATCCCAGCCTTAACCCAGCTAATCCCAGCACCACTGGCCAAGGCGCCTTTGCATGTGCAGCCAAAGGAGACTCAGCCGAAGGAAAAGAACACAAGCGCCTCAGACCGTCCGGCACGTGCTCAATTTCCCGGCCCACGTTCTAGCTGCCGGGCCGTACCAAAGTCTCTGGGGGAGGCCGAGGGCGCGAGCTGAGAAGGCATCTGGAGTAACCAGGCGCTCCCCTTGAGACGGGCGGTCAAGCTCCAGGTTTGGACTATGTTCTGTCCAGCTGGGGCAGGGCAGGCCCAGGCAGGGCCGGAGAACGAAGGGTACCAAGCCAAGACCGAGGCGCGCCACCCCCCGCGAGGACGTGGGGTGAGCCGCGGGGGTGGAACGGCCCGCCCCGCCTCCCCGCGTCGCGCCCCGCCCCCCGCATCGCGCCCCGCCCCTCCGCGTCGCGCCCCGCCCCGTTGTGAGGTTATAAAGCGCGCTCCGAGCCCGCCGCGGGCTCAGTGGCCGCGCCTCGCTCGCTTTCTGGCTGCTCGGCGCACCGCCGCCGGCCACTCGTCCCAGCTCCGGTGCCGAGGCCGCCAAGGCTTAGGCACCGTCCCCAGGCTCCCGTGCTCTGCGCGAAGCCCTGGCCCCGGTGGCCAGGGCATGGGCCAGGGGCGCGGCGTGAAGCGGCTTCCCTCCGGGCTGTGAGCTGCACTGGCTTCAGCATGAAGACCCTCATAGCTGCCTACTCAGGGGTCCTGCGAGGCGAGCGCCGGACCGGCGCTGCCCGGGGCGAAAGCTCGAATGGAGGAGGCGAGCTGTCCCCAGAGAGATCTGGGAAATGGGGTGAGTGTCACACCGGGGGCTTTCTTTCATCCTGGGGACATGAAACTGCATACCTGTGCTGGAGGGCTGACCAGTGAAGATGAGGTCCCAGCTCCTCTCCTCTCCTTTCCTCTTCCCTCTTTTCTGGGACTGGGTCTGTGTATCCTGGACTGAGTTCGAACTCACGATCTCCCCTTGCTGATGCCTCCTGGGCGCCAGCATTGCAAGCATTCTCCACCATGTCCCAAATCTTCCTTTGGGAGGGGGGGGTGGTTGGAGGGGAGACTCTCCCGGCTCCCATCATCTTGTTCATCTGATCCAGGCAGCCAGGCAACCTAGACAAGTCTAGGTTCATTCTCTCCCCATTCTGGCACACATTGATTTTTGCAACATGGGTTACATCACTTCCAGTCCCCCAGCTTATGATAAGGGCGACACCATCCACCCTTTTCAGTTATTCAGGATATTTAGCTCCTCCCCAACATCACCCCCCTCCCTCCACCCCCATACTGTTTCTGACCCCTGGCAGTTCCCTCCCTTCTCTCCTTCACCAGGTGGAACAAACTTTGGCTTGAGAGACAGGATGCAGCCGAATAGAAAGGGTTTTGTAATCTCCTAAAGCAGCCACTGGATGGGGTACATGCCTGGCTAAAAAGGGTGTACCCATACTGTCTTCGGTCCCACTCCCATCTGCCAGCCCAGGCTGCAAAGCCCATTCAGTAACAACTCTGAGCATGGTGTACTCTGGATATACTTAGAAGGAGGGGGCTGGTTGTCCTCCAGGGTAGCACTGAGGTCCTCAGTGAATTAGGGGCAGAGTTGAAATCAAATGCCTGTTTTTCCTGTGCAAGAAAAAGCATTCCTTTCGCTCCCACTCTCTTTACCTACACTTAGAGAAACTGAGGCAGTTCCCCCCTCCCTTGAGTGGGGGATTAAATACAAATCTAGGAGACCCTGGGAAGTCATCTCAATTGTCTTGGTCCATTTTGCATGAACACTCTCCTCCTGCCAGGCATCAGTGACTCATGCCACTCAGGAAGCTGAGATCTGAGGATCACAGTTCAAGGCCAGCAGGAAAGTCTGTGAGACTCTTATCTCCAATAAGCCACTCAGAAAATGGAAAGTGGCGCAGTGGCTCAAGTAGTAGAGTGCTCACCTTGAGCTGAGGAGCTGGGGGACAGTGCCCAGGCCCAGAAGTTCAAGCCCCATGACCAACCAAAACAACAACAACAAAAAACTCTCCTCCTAAGCCAGTATTCTGCTTGCTGAACTTCTCTAAGGCGGTGTTTTTCTTTAGTAGTTAACTGCCTGCTCGCTCACCTTCATAATGAAAAATAATCTTTTAGTGAAAAAAAAATTTTTTTTGGTCATGGGGCTTGAACTCTGGGCATGAGAGTTGTCCTTCAGCCCTTCAGCTCAAGGCTAGTGCTCTATCACTTGAGCCACAGTGCCACTTCCGATATCCTGGTCGTTAGTTGGAGATGAGAGTTTCAAGGACTTTCCTGCCTGATCTGGCTTTGAACGGTGGTCCTCAGATTTTAGCCTCCTGAGTAGCTAGGATTACAGGCCCAGCACCCTGCTTGAAAATCTTAATATATAGTCAGATAAGAAGAAAATAAAAATTACTGGTAGAGCCAGGCACTAGTAACTCATATCTGTAATCCAAGCTACTCAGCAGGCTGAGATTTGAGCATCATGGTTTGAATCCAGCCTGGGCAGGAAAGTCCATGAGACTTAGCTCCAATTAACCACCAAAAAGCTGTGGTGCAAGTGACACTGTGCTAGCCTTGCACATAAATGCCCTGAGTTCAAGCCCCAGGACTGGCACCAAAGGAAAAAATAAACTATCCAATGATAGTTTTCTATTAGCATTAGTATTTTCTCTATACAGGTTATACACAAAACCTTGAGGACCTGTTGTAGATATAGTTCTGAATTATGTTTTCTCCTTAAGGTTATATCATGAATATTTCTTACTGTTAATCAAAATCATTTCTAATATGCTGGCTGGAGTGACCAGTCTCCATTTAACATTGACATTATTCCTTGTGGTTATCTGACCTTCTTCTTAGTCTGGGTGCTTCACATTGCCCTTGGAAAGGTACTGAACTTCTTTCTCTATCCTAGAGTGAGAGCCTCATCTATCTGTCCCACCCACCAGCCAATAATCTCTGACAGCCTCTTTTCCCACTCAGTGTGCCCTATTCACTGTGCCCTTTGATGCACTTACCAGGGAAAGAAAGGACTTGCCCATGTTCATGTGTTTACAATGTTTTTGTCTTTGGCTAATGGATTAGGACATTTTCTCTGTGGTGATTCTTCCCGGGGATCCCTTCCTATACTCTGCTGTCCACAGGCTGTGAGCTGTCCAGGAGCCCATGACCCTCAGTTCTCATATTTTAGAGTTTGTTACTAAAGAGAATTTATAGTTCAGAAGATGTTTTTGACCAAGTCATTTCATATCATACCAGAAGAATTTCCCATGTTGTTATCAGATCTTGGAAATATGAATTATAAAAACCAGGCACAAGAATCCATCATGGAATGTAGCAAGGGCTAATATGAAATGTAAACCAGTCAGTTCAGCTCTGAGATTTACTTTGGTAACAGACTAGGTGGGGTAGGGGAGGGTGCTGAAGCACATTTGGGTAATCTTGACATCTCTGTTGCACCCAGTGTCTTTGAAGACACTCCCTAGTGGCCTAGTTTGCCTCTGCAGATAATTTCCCACTGCTTTGACATAGTGTAAACACTTTGTTGGTGACAGTATTCAAGGAGAGCCCATGGATTCTATGAAGGGAAGTGCAGAGCTGGGTGAGTGATAATAAAAGATAACTTGGTGTCTGGTTTCTTTGTAGGAGAGTGGGTGATGGGTATGTATTGGGGACTGTAATAGGGTTAATTTGTCTTGGTATCTCCTAATACCTGCAGTACTTCCCTGGGCCAGGTATGGGAGCTGTAGTTGGTTGTATATGTATTCACACTCTTTGGGCCATAACCCCTTGGGTGCTTGCCTGTATCCTCGGGATTCAACACAGGATCCTGCACATGGTGGTGGTAAAATTCTTAAGCTGATGTCTGCAGGGCTCCAAAGAGCCAAGCTGGGAATAAGGATGTATTATAGGGGTCAGATATGGATACAGTAGAGGAATCCTTTCTAACAGCTGTTGCGTGGGCTCATACATAAACCAGGAGGATGGGAAGGAGCTTCCCAACCTTCCATCCCTGAGGGTCTGCAATGGAGACTTCAGAGAGGGAGTGAAACGTCACTCTCATGTTCCCCCTCCCTCAATTCTAGATAGCTTTTACCCCCTCCCTTCATCACTTACCCCCTCCCTTCCCAGCTACACACTTTGGAGTTACCTGTAGTGCCAAGGGTGGGGAAAAGAGGGCCAACAGTTTTATTAGCAGGCCGATGACTCCATAGTCAGTGTGGAAATCTTGCCTTATCCTCACTCACCTGCCCTTAAATTCTGCAGCAAGTGTTTGAGTCATAAAACATAGGCATCTGTTGTTGCTGGATCCGGCCCAACCCTCATGGCACAGATGGGAATGCTGAAGTCCCCAGAGAGAAGAGACTTATTCAGAGGTGGGAAAGCCAGCCTAGAGCCCAAGTATGTGGTTAGCCTCCCTATACCAATGAATTGTAGCCGGGTCCGGGAAGGGCTAAGCACTGCTCAGTGTGGGAGTTCTGCAATTTGCTGAATGAGTGGCATGAATGAGTTGTTGATGGCAGGCAGCTCCTCCTTCCCAAGCTTGAGCTCTGGTGGATGGAGGCACCAGCAGCCCCCTTTCTCCCCTTTCCCTTAGAACAGATGAACTGCTTGCTGCTACCTACTCTCCCCATACTTCAGTCCTAAATTCTTCCTCAGGACCTCTGAGGCTACATGAGCAACTACCACTATCTCCCAGCCTCCTGTCCTCCAGACCATCTCAGGGTCTATGCACCTGCTGCCTCCTGCCTCCTTCAGGTCTGCCTTCTGGGCATTCAGACTTCTTTCAGAAACTTTCCCTAGCCACCCCACCGGAAGAAGCCCTTCCCTTCCCCCTCCCCATCTCACCACATCTTGTAGTTACATAGCCCTTACTATTGCCTAAATATCTTGTGTATCTGTTTAGGTATTTGTCTCTACCATAAGAATGTCAACTCTTGTCTGTCTTCCTCAATCTTGTGTTTCTAGCATCTAACACTCTGCCACAGGTAGTAGGTGCTCAGTAAATATTTGTTAAAACGAATGAATCATTAATGGGATTTCCTGGCCGTCTTGGCAGTAAGCCTTGCTGTTAGCTTCTAGGTGATTCTGAGCTTTTCCCAGCCCTCCTCTCTGCCTGCCTATGCTGGTGGCTGAGGCTTGAAGCTAGTTGCTTCCCCAGAGACCCTCACACTCTGGTGAGCTAGCCACAGGGATAAGCACCTGGTGGGTGAAACCATACTCATCATGGTTTACCTCATGGTTTCTAGCACTTAGAAGCCCAGAGAGATCCAAGATCCTTGCCCTGCTTTTTCTCTGACACATGGCTGGGTAACTCACTGCCTTTCTGTAGATCTCATTTCCCATCTCCAAAATAGTTAAAAATCCTAGGCTCTCAGAATGAGAGTGGGAAAGTGCTTTGTAAACTAACGGAATAGTTTTGTGTGAATGATTCCTCACCATTTGTTCTCTGATATGTGCAGCAGTCCCAGATCACCTGTGGACACTTATGCTCTGAGAATCTATATCTTTGTCGAGGTGGGAACATATCCTCAGTTCATTGAGAAAAATTTCTATATGTCTATCAAAATACCAGCCTTTGAGAAAGATAATTGGAGGGGGGGGATGTGTACAGTGTGAGCCAAGCACTATCAAAGAAGGAAGAAGTGGCAACTGGAAAGTCTAGGGGGTGAAGGAACTAAATCAGAGATTAAGAGAGAGTTCCTGAAAGTGGTGATCTTTAGTCTGGGTCTTGAAAGATACTTAGGGATCTTTAACCTTAGAAAGACAAATAAGAACATCCAAGTACAGGAGAGTATAAATAAAGCA